CACACACACACACACACACACACACACACAGTGGCCTTTTAAGTACTGGCACTTTATCTCAGTATCCATCTGTGAAGAAACTGGTGGGCAACATATTGCTCTAGAGGCTGCAAAACTCTGAAAGTAAAAACACTTAAAAGCAGAGAGAAGACTGTGCTGAGGTGGCCGAGCCCTAACAAACTGCTGGGGCGGGATGGAAACCAGCAGGGCACCTGAGAAGTGAGAGGCCGGGGTGGGCTGTGGAGCTGTGTGGGGACGGGGGGGCCACGGGGGAGGAAGGCGCAGGCGGCAGGCTCCGGGGACCCCTCCGGAGCGAACAGGCTCCTGCATCCTCCGCCAGAACTCCTATCCTCAGGCAGCAGCTGTCCCCCTTTTTATACCATGGCAACAGCAGAAGACAGAAGAAAATCAGACTACGGCATTCCTAGGAAAACAACCACACACCATATTTTTTAATACAACTGAACTTAAAACTGAATGCTAGGGCCGGGGAGATAGCTCAGTGAATAAGTGCTTCCCTGGCAAGCCAAAGGCCTGAGTTCAATCCCTGGTTCCACCAAAAAAAAACAAACCTGAATGCTAGAAAATTCATAAAGATCATTCAAGAGCTCCAAGCTAAAAGCTGCAGAGCTAAAAAAATTCCTAAAAGGATAATGAAATAAATAACTGCAGTTGTCCTCGGGAAAGGTGAGAGGAGGCAGGGGTTCAAGGGTGAGAAACACAGTGTCCGACACCATTCTGCCTTAACAGACCCAGAGACAGGCACATGGTTTGTCTTTTAAATTAAAGGAGAAAAATCCCTTAAAAGCAAACTCAGCGAAAGCAGGCCATGGTGCCACGCAACTGTGAGGCCAGCATGCTAGGAGACTGGGGCAGGGGGACCCCAAATTCAAGACCAAGGGCTGGGGAGAGAGCTTAGTGGCATAAGCACCCACCTGGCAAGTGCCCCACGTTTGATCCCCCATACCACACACACACACACACACACACACACACACACACACACAAAAGAATCTGCTTCCAAATTCAAGACAAACTGGCAACTTAGTGAAAACCTATTTCAAAATTGGTCTGGGGACAAAGCTCAAAGTGAAGGCCCTGGGCTCAATCCCCAGTGTCTCACCCATCAGAGGGGAAGACCCTTGAATATGTCAACTACAGCCTTCAGTATAGTGGAGACCAGTTCCAAGAACCCACTTTAGATGTCAACCTTCCAAGTGCCCAAGCCCCTATCAGGAAACGGTGAGGAATGTGTACCCACACCCAGCCTCTCTCCATCTTAAACAGGCTTCCATCACTAGAAGTTCCGAGTGCCAGGCAGCCATGAAGACAGTTGTTATACCGTACTGTTTAGGGAATAATGAAAAGACTAGGCGTGCGCTAGGGGGCAGGGATTCGCTGTGCCCCGCTGGCTGTGAGCCTTAGCCTGAGCATCAGCTGCTGCTAGAGCGCTCCGACCTCCACACGGGTTGAAACACTTTGCTTATTTCAAAACTACTTGTGGCCCGCTTTCACCCTTGGACACAGAAACCAAACAGCTGTCCATGGGACCTGGCAACACTCTTCGTACACAGATAAGCCGCCACATCACCAGCAGCGAGGCTGCGACTGATCACGGTAACCAGATGTATCCTCCAAGAACAAACCGCGTTGGAGTTTTTGTGGTCGCTTAAGAAAAGAAGCTAAGGAGCTCCTACCAGGTCCAGTATTCCCTGCATCATAAGAACAAGCACAAAAGCTAATAAAGGAGCACAAAAACTGCTCAAACTTACTTGCAAAATATGTGGTCACATTTTGTGGAAACAGGTTCTTTGATCAACTCCAGACTAAATGATAGAGGAAAAAAAGAATAATTAATCAGGCGCAGCAATTTATAAATATATCCCAAACCCCAAAATAAGTGTACTTCGAGTAAGGAAGTTTATGGTGGACTCAAGGTATAGCCTGGAATTTTTATTTTATATTTCTGGTTTTCTTAATCAGGGTCTCACTATATAGTCCAGGCAGGCCTTAGAACTCACTATGTAGCCTCAGCTGCCCTCCAGCTTACAGTGATCCTCCTGCCTCAGCCTCCTGAGTGCTGGGACTCAGGACACGGGCCACCACGCCTGGCCTGAGCTATCATTTTGAATGTACCTCCTGCAACTTAAGTAAACACTAAACTCTACAAAGAAAGCTCTTGCTCACAGTAGTTTTCCCTCATTCGTGGTTTCACTCTGCAGCTTTAGTTATTTGTAATCAACAGTGGCCCAAAAGTATTAAATGGGAAACTCCCCAGCTAACCAACCCTTCATGTTTTAAGAGGTGCAACCTTCTGGGCAGCAGGAAGAAGCCTTCCCGCTGTTCCTTCCAGAAAGCGAGTCATCCCTTGTCTAGCAGGTGCAGGCTACCCGCCTACTGTTACTTGGTGGAGGTCTTGAGGATGGGAACGCAGGTGACAGACACTGACTACTAGCATGACGTTCCTTACTATGGTGGCAAAAACCAAGAGCAGCCATGCTGGCAATCAGATAGGGCTAAGGCAAAATCGAAAAGCTGCAAGTGTCCCCTACGTCTGTCAGTCAGGAACCTGTCCGTGAGGTTCCGTGTACGCAGCCTCAGGACCCGACCGGGCTCCTGGACTGTGCCCCCCACAGGGAGAGAGAACAGCTGTATATTTCTTTTGGCTTCCCTTATGGCACTTGTTGGGCATGTGATTGCCTTTGTAGTCAATGTAGAAAATCTCGAGCATTTACACAAATATAGGAAAACGGGCCAGGTGTGGTGGTACACCCCTGTGATCCGCCACTCGGGCTGGAGCGAGAGGATGAGCTCAAGGCCAACCTGGGAAACATAGTGAGACCCCTACTTCCCCACATAGATAGACAAAAAGTAAAATCACCATGTAACACCCCCCGGGGCTGGGGAGATGGCTCAGTGGTCTAAAGCACCTACTTAGAACAAGTTTAGCAAAGCAGAGGGACCACGGTTCAATCCCCCAGAACCACATGCCAGCCAGCCCGCCCCCTGCTGGGCTGAGCTGGCCACACACACACACACACACACACACACACACACACACAAATAAAATTAAACAAACAAACAAACATGTACCCCCCCCAATTTCAACAACTGCCAGCCCACAGCAAGTCTTGTTCCAGCCACACATACCACTGCCACTCCACTCCTCAGGTTATTTGTAGACAAATCCCTGCCAATGGGCTACTTCTTATTTGCAGCACTAGGTATTGAGCAGGGCCTCAGGCATGCTGGCCAAGCGCTCCTCCACTCAACTAGGGCCCAGCCCTTTTGGCTGGTTCTTAAGACAGTCTTGCTAAATTGCTCAGGATGGCCTCAAACCTATGATTCTCCCACTTCAGCCTCCAGAGTAGCTGGCGTTACAGATGGGTACCACTGTAGAGACTTTTTCTAGCCTAACGATAAAAGATGAGTAATTAACTTAATATCATTTAACATATAACAAATGCCTCAACTTGCTTCACCTAATTGGTTTTTAATAGCTGGGTGTGCTTCAATTAGTGACCAGGCAGTAGTCATACACCAAATTTGGTTCATGTCTCCAGTCTCCTTTAAGCTGGATTTTTCCTTCTTGTCACCTATTTAAAAAACTAGATCACCAGACTGCAAATTTCCCTCACTCTAGATCTTGCCAATCGTAGCTCTGGAGTGTGGTTCTGCAGGTTCTTCTACTTCTGTGGTGGCAGCCTATGACCCCAGCAGGCTGTTTGTGTCACCCAAAGCTGTTACTGTATTTTTCTTTTAAGACAAAAGTTTCTCTTTTCTGAGCTGAAACATCAGTATGCAGGTTTAACTACAGTGCTGGCACTCTGGGCACTAAAAGGCTTGCCACTGCCCATGTGGCGCATTTCCAGTGAACAACGCACAGGGCGCTACTGAATTCAGGTTCAACTCTAGGACAAGAAAACTGCAAGTGGCACTGTTGGCTTCACTGCATCACTTCAGGGGGTCATGGCATTTTGATCACTTTGCAAAAACACTGAGATAAATAACAACTAAAGGAAATTCCCATCCCTCTCTGTTCACAAAATCTCAACATCTTTCTGAATTTAATCTACTTAATACACGCACGCACACAAATATATATATATATATATATACATATAGATCCAGAACCTTTAACTGAGCTACTCAGCCCTTGCTCTAGTTTTTATTTGGAGACCAGTTCTCACTAAATTGCCTAGGCTGGGCTCTAACTTGTGATTTTCCTGCCTCAGCCTCCCAAAGCTCTGAATCACAGGTGTGTGCTATCACGCCCAGCCACATTAGCAAATATTAAACATCTATATATGAAGCACAGAGTAAATTCAGCAGTGAACACCCCATGGGCCACCTCATGGAGCTCACATTCTAAATGTGACGTACAAGTGAGAAGAGAAATAACTAAGAACAGATGGGAACAGGTGTTAGAGAAAACCGGAGCAGAGCACGGCAACGTAGAGTGCAGTGCGTATGGGAGGAGACAAGCGAACGGTATGAAGAGCAGAGCTACACAACGGGCGCACGCCCCAGGGGGCGGGGCACAGAGGCCGGCAGACAGGCCAGGGCCTGCGACAGCTGGGTGGAGGGTGTTCTGGCAGCATCATGGGGGTAGCGCCATCTGCGCAGCTGGGAACCTGCGGCTCTTTCAAGGCTTCTGCCTTGGCCGAACGAGGACTGTAAAAGGCAGTTTTCCTCAGAGAAGCCCGAGCCAGACATCGAAGAGGTAACCTGGCTGTGACCAGAATGTGGTTCTTTTTGCTGAGTATTTGGCTTTTAGAAAAGGATCATAAGAAAAGCTGGGGCTTCCACCACAGCAACCATCGAAGAACAGTAGCCATGGCCCTCCGCTATCCCATGGCCGTGGGCCTCAACAAGGGCCACAAGGTGACTAAGAATGTGAGCAGAGCGAGGCACACCTGCGGTCGCGGACACCTCCCCAGCACACCAAGTTCACGTGGGACATGATCCGGGAGGTGTGCGGCTTCGCCCCCTACGAGCGGCGCGCCATGGAGCTGCTCAAGGTCTCCCAGGACAAGCGCGCCCTCAAGTTCATCAAGGGTGGGGACGCACATCGGCACCAAGAAGTGTGAGGAGCTGAGCAACGTGCTGGCCGCCATGAGGAAGGCAGCTGCCAAGGACTGAGACCCTCTGGAATAAGGCTTTGCAGAAAGTTAAAAAATACACCAACCAACAAACAAAGAAAAGCTGGGGAGAACAGCCCTGCTGCACTCACACAGCCGCCTCCGCCGAGCCTCCTCCGGGCACTCAGTTTCCTTCCTCTGCCCACTGTGCCAGGCGTCCAGGCCTGCAGCGAGGATAAATACAGTTGCGTTCTACTTGGGAAGACATTCCTCAGCAAGTGACCTGCACTGAAGCTACTTATTATTGGGAAGAAATAGGACTTTACAAAGGAAAACAGCTGTGGGTGTGGTTGTTCATGCCTGAGGCAGAAGGAGCACTGTGAGTTCACGGCCACTCGGGGCTGCTCAGCAAAGCCCTGTCTCAGAAACACCAAAAAACTACTACTACGCTAAAAATTAAAAATGAAAACGGTCCCCATAGAGAGAATTCCGATTTGTTACTAAAATCACTACTTGTAAGACTAGATAGCAACGAAATTCTCAGGAAGAAGAACTGGCTTTAGCTACGGCACCAGATGGCTCTCATTCTCACCACTGACTCAATCCTGAGATGATTATATTTCAATATGGCAATTATAATCCAAACTATACAAACACACTGTAAACACAAACCCTGAGCAGATGAAAACTCTGAGGTGGGAACAGCAATGAATGGTGGGGGAAGAGCCCAAGGACAGGACAGGAATGGAGCACACTGGCCCAGACCACTGAGCTTAACACTTTCCAAACCACATATTTGCATTTTGATCCCTCAACAGATAATTTGCTAAATAAAGAAGCTAGATTTAGGTTTACAAAAACAAGAAAGCTACCAATTATCTTACATAGCCAGTTCAGGCAGGCATAAAGGGACACACCTATAGTCTGTCCCAGCTTTGTGACAGGATTACTTAGGTCTCCGAGTGCAAGACCTGCCTGGGATCTGGGCATGGGGGCACACACCCGCCACCCTGACTCTTGCAGAGGCATGCGGATCATCGAGAGTTTGAGGTTAGTCCGGGTTACACAGTTCAGTTTCGATTCCTGCCTGAACTACATAGCAAGACCCCATCTCAAAAAACCAAAACCAGGGGCCGGGGAGATAACTCAGTGGAATAAGTGCTTCCTTGGCAAGTGCAAGGGTCTGAGTTCAATCCCCGGTTCAAAAAAAGAAAGAAAAAGAAAAAGAAAAAGAAAAAGAAAAAGAAAAAGAAAAAGAAAAAGAAAAAACCAATACCAGGGCCGGCCTGATAGCTCAGCAGACTAAAGCACCTGCTTAGGCAGAGCACAGTGGTCGGGGTTCGATCCCCCCCATGCAGTGCTGGCCCCACCCGTGGAGCGCAGGTGATTGAGACTGGGCGTGGTGGCACATGCCTGTAATCTCAGCGCTTTGGGAGGCTGAAAACAGAATCACTACCAAGTCTAATCTACAGTGAAACCCTGTAGATCCTGTCCTAAAAACATTTTTTAAAAA